CATGCACATGGAGAACATGCAAACTCCATGCAAAAAGACCCCTGGCAGGGAATCAAACCCGAAACCTTCTTGCTGCAAGGCAGCGTTGCTACCCGCTGCACCACTGAGCACTGCTGAATCGATGATTAGTGGTGATTCAATTATTTCTTCTTGTACTGTCTACCAGAGGTATCAAGTAACGAAGTACAAATACTTTGTTACTGTACTTAAGTACACTTTTTAGATATCTATACTTTACTCCATTAATTATTTTTCTACCTACTTCTGACTTCTACATTTTCACACAAGTATCTGTACTTTCTATTCCTTACTTTTTTTTAAAACAAACGTTACTCGTTACTCTTGGCTTCGGTTTAATGTTTATAAATATTTATTTCATGTCATGCGCGCCATCCAATGCAGATCATTGGCGCCATACAAAACTGAAAACTAGTGTAATTGGATGAGTCATATAACGCAAACACTCATTGGTTAGCTAAAGGAAACCATCAGAAGCAAGCAGGTGTTCTTCAAACTACAAACCTGAATTGTCTATGCCATGCTACAATGTAGGACTCAGAAAAAGATGTTGAAATGTCTGAAAGGTCGGACACAGACGAGAGCGTATCGGAAGATGGAGACCAACAAGACCTCCGTCATCCTTGGCCCTATCTCAAAGAATTTTTCAAAATTGCTGTAAAATTTAGCTTTCAGTTCATCTAGTGGCATCTGGTTGTTTCTTTTTTAAAGGTTACTTTATACTTTTATACTTTCAGTAGTTTTTGGAGCACATACTTTTTCACTTTTACTTGAGTAAAGAGGTCAAGTTGAGTTTAACATTTACCAGAGTGTTTTTAAACTGCAGTATCTATACATCTACTTAAGTAACATATGTGTGTAGTTTTGAAACCACTGCAAGAAGGCAACAGTGCAAACAGAAAGTGTTCACAGTGAGAAGTGTCTTTTCTGATATGTTTTTTTTTTTTAGGATATTCTTTGCTTTTTAAGTCAGCCCAGTGAGGGTAGAGGTCAGCCAATGATTTTTGGGCTCCCCTTTTGGAAGCACAGATGCAGTACATTAGCATGTTCTCTATGGAGCACTTGTAGAAGGACATTAGCAGTTGCTGCTTGATGTTGTTCTTCCTTATAACCCTCAGGAAGTACTTTTTTTTGTCAGCTACAAGGTTTCAATGTTACACTTAAGGTCGTGCTCAGTGTGTACCAGGAAACAGAAACCAGCCACCTTCTCCACACGCTCTACTCAGATAATTAGTGGTGTAATATTTGTTCTTTTTTCCTGTAGTCTATTGTGAGGTCTTCTGTCTTGGAGGCATTGAGGAGCAGATTGTTTTCTCCCTGAACCAAACTGATAGCTGCTCAACCTCATCCCTGTAGGTGGTCTCCTGAAATTAGCCCCATTGTGGTATCACAAGCAAACTTGACATTAAAGTTACTCTGCTGGTCAGAAGTGCAGTACTATGTGCCTTGACTCTCATAAAGTTTCAGTGGCACACAGCCTGCAGCTTCTGATAAAAAAAACCATAGAACATGAGGATGAATACTTCATTATTTTATACATATCTATGCAATGGTGAAACTCCCAGAGATGAATGAGATGTTTATTTGTTGAACTAATAAAATACTCATGTCCTGCACAGTGACTGTCCACCAATACCCATTCAATCAACTCCAAAAACCAAGAAAGGCTTCCCTTCGTTCAAACGTTCAAGTCATAAAAGAAGATTAAACTCTTCTTTGGTTGTGTGCTTCTCTACAGCTTGAATCAATTTGGAATGTATGAATCCAGGTAAAAAGAATGATCTATTAGTATTTCTACCATTACAGTAAAATAAGACAGTTTGATCATGTACACTAAAAATAAGACAAGTTTTTTCTTATTTTAAATATAAATTGTTCTTTTATATTTGCCCCTCAATTCAAGAAAAAATGCACTCATTTGAAGAAAACATAACTTATTTAGATTTCATTCCTGAAAAGTTACAAGTTCAGAAAAGTATTTTACTTTAGGATTCATAATATTAATTTTCCATAGGTTAAAAAAGCCAGTAAAAGAAGTGAAGGAAAGATAAATCACATTTACCTTATGATTGATACTTTAAAATATAAAGAAATACCTAAACTGGTGTAGATGTATCTTATTTTTTATTTATTTATTTTTTTTCAAATTCGAGTTGCCTGCAAATTTTCGTTTGGTTCCCTTGTGACAGTTTATGTGGATATTTTCCAAAGCATCAATTTGTTTAACAGTATTTCCTTCAAAATGTGTTTTTTGAGGAAACAAAACATATTGGAAATATAATAATATATATTTAACAGAAATAACTGCCTCCTTTTGTTGTTCATCTGCTTGGTCATACGCTGCTAATCTCAACCATCTATTGTCATGTAAGCTAGTGCGGTATGTTACTTTGATACCAACAGCACACTGTGGTTCAGATGCACAGCAAAGGGTGTTTTTTCAGTTGTATTTTTGTTTTTGTGTTTTATGCTGATCCCACCATTGTTCAGTGAGGATGCAGTCAGGGCTGCTGGCAGCTCAGTCCATCCTCATCACTCTAGTTCACAGAGAAGTCTAATAAATGCTGAGCCATGGTGACGGGTGTCGTTGATCTCTCTGTATTGAGATTCTCTCTAATCATGGCACGACTTTTTTGGAACTGATATTGAACCACAAAGTTTTTTCAAAAGAGTCAGTTATTCTAAAATTGGCAATTATTCCAATTTTGTGAATGTTGTAAATAGTAATTTCGTCATCTGCTTTGATTTTGAGAAAGGGTTACACTATTACAGATAAATCCCCCAATATGTTCATGGATGGCTTTAGCCAGGGACCAAAAGGGACCAGTGCCCTGAAAGAACTATTCCTGGGCCCCTATTAAAACCCCTGTACAGGACATATAACACTAATTCATTATTTTATGATGATATGCACTAACAGAAGAGTGTAACTGATTGGTCCATTGAACCGATTTATGTTTTTTCCCTTTAGGCTAAAGTTTACTTTAACAACTATTTAGAAAATAAGGTTTTGTTACTTTAAGCTTCGGCTGTATTAAGATAGGATTTTAATCTGTTAGTTCAGGAGACTGCTACTTTGGCTTTGTGGCTAACTGTATATACTAAATGATGCACCATTACTCTTTTTTTCTGGTTAGAGTTTTTGTGAAATCTCCAGTAAATGGACATTTTCAACTTATTCCTGCAGGGTACAGCCGGATATAACCTGGGCTACGCTGACTTGCAGAAGTTTTTATGCTGGGAACTCTGTCTACGTACCTTGTCTTCTCCAGACTGATTAATGCCCTATGTCTGCCATGCTGGAGAAGTGTTTCTTAATGTTTTTTTTTCCTCAGACTCACTCTTCCAGACCAGCATATGCCCGTGCAGAGCAAGATCAGCTGCACCACATGGGGTTGCCACATCCTTTATCAAACGAGCCACATCCAACTGCGGGGGGCATTCACAACGATTATCATAAGGCTACGAACGTGTTTGACAAAAAATGCACAAATGGGATGCCATATTGCACCCAGCTTCAAAAAGCTGCCAGAATTAAAGCAGCTGCCAATATAACTGAAAGCAGGAGGGGGTAATAAACGCAGGGAGTGTAACAAAGAACCGGATGTGGTCCCTGACTTTACAGGACAAAATCTTACATCCCAACAACAAAGCTAATTGTCTTTTTACGAAGAAAATCCTACTTAATTTTTTTTTTCTATTACTTATATGATAATGACAGATACATAAAACAACATAAATATATGCAAAGTATACTCTGACATTAAGTTGCATTGTGACTTATTTTAGATCTTAAAAAGCAGGAACATTCAGTGGTACCAGCATGTTTACTTTCATATATTTCTTTTTCATAGGAACGAGAAAATCACAGGCCGATGGGCTTCAACCACAAGAAACGATATTACAATTAGAAACAGAAAATGATGACTCACTAGTCGCTATGGAAAAAAAATCCCATCCAGTT